AAATTTTTGGGCCATTTTTGGCGAACGTTATGGAAAAAGCTGGGCACCAAGTTACTATTTTCAACCACATGTCACCCTCAAACAGACGGACAAACCGAAGTGGTGAACCGTACCTTGTCTACCTTGTTAAGAGCTACCATCGGAAACAACTTGAAAAACTGGCTGGAGTGTATACCATTTGTTGAGTTTGCTTATAATAGGGCAGTACACTCGGCAACTAAGATGTCTCCATTTCAAGTGGTTTATGGATACAACCCCATTGCACCTTTGGATCTCGTCTCCATACCACAAGTGGAGCAAGTCAGCATCGAGGGAGTCAACAAGGCCGAATTCGTCAACAAACTACACCAACGGGTCCGAGATAACCTCCAAAAGAAAACAGAGCAATACGCCAAACATGCAAACCGTGGAATGAAGAAAGTAGTGTTCGAACCAGGGGAGTGGGTATGGCTCCACATGCGGCCAGAACGGTTCCCATCTAAGCGAAGCTCCAAGTTGGCACCCCGCGGTGAAGGACCATTCAAAATCGCAGAGAGGATTAACGACAACGCCTACCGTCTAGAATTACCAGGTGAGTTTAACATATCACATACCTTCAACGTCACTGACTTGGAGAGTTTTGCTGCAGATAATGGAGAAGTTTTGAGGTCAAAATCTCTTCAAGAAGGAGGGAATGATGAGGACATCACCTCACCGGATCAAGCTGACGACCTAGAGGAAGACATACCACCATTACCTGATGCTCCTTTCATACCAGATAGACCATTAACAAGATCTGGAGCCCAGTTTCTACGAGAGAAATTTAACAACTACGTGGAGTCGCTACTCAGCCTCGAACCAAACCAGCTTTGTACCGGATTCAGTGAATTACAGTTGGAGCAAGATAAACCACCTATTACAGCTGCACCAACGTCACCATATCAAGACCAGTGGCCTATGATCCACACACAAGCTGGTTCCACCATCACCTCTGTCTTGGAGCCATAAACTAAGGTACTTGTTTGAATTATTTATTTAAATGATTCTAACAGTTTGTTCGTGCGTGTTTTCATCTTATTTCAATTTAAGAGAGTTAGAGAGAGTTTCTTTTTATTTTCGAACGATTATTGTATTTTGGTTATTTGGTTTCCTTTTTTTTATTTGTTGCGATTAATGTAAAAGGTTGATGTGGCCGTGGAATGTCTATAAGAGACTCCACAAACCCTCATGTATTTTTTCACCTTTGATGAAATAAAACCTAGAACTTTCTTCTAAGAAGATCGCCGCTTTCTCTTGTATTTGTCGAGACACTCCAAAACAAGAGTTCACGTGTTTTATCACGGAGATCCATTCCATCCGTGTGGTACACCTCACTCCGCCGTCACGCCGCCTACTCTTGACTCGTTGAGAGAGCTCTCAGCCAGCACCGAGTCTGTTCACGCTTAATCATCTTATCTTGGATCGTGGAGAGAGCTTTCAGCCTTCTACGGATCTGTTTCTTGGCCGAGAAGTAACCTCAAATCATTGGGGTTTATATCAATCTCCCATTACCTCCTGTCCTCTCATCCAATCTTAAGATAGTATTAAAGTCGCCGCCAATTATTAACGGCCCTTCCAACCCATTAATCACTCCCCTTAGCTCCTCCCATAAGCCACTACGCCTGCTTACAGTTGGAGCTGCATACACCACCACTAAATTCATAGACTCGTCTCCATTCACTACCTTCGCGTGAATAAACTGCGCCGGTGAAACTACAATGTCCACTGTACCCACACAAGAACGCCACAACAGCCACAATCCTCCACTCTGCCCTGCTGCATCAGCGCGAAAAGAGTTCTCAAACCCTAACTGTTGACATATTCGACCCGCTTGCTCACCTTCAGCATGTGTCTCAAACAACGCCAGTACGTTCGTATCGAACTTCTTCAACAAATACCGTAACGATCTTCGAAAGTTGGATTTATTCACCCCCCGGCAATTCCATAACATACAATTCATGATGACTTGATAAAGATCACAAAGAAAAGTCGGGGCAAAAAGTTATTTGTCCGCAAGAACCACACCCGAATCCATTGAACCCTCATGGAGAACAAGATCCATAGATGTACCATCAGCTGTGGAGAGTTCACCAACCAACTCCCCCAATTTTCCACTCGTTTATGCCGGTTTCAAAACTGAATTACCCGTACACACACTCGTATAAGCACCCCCTGCTCTATCACCATTATCATGTTCAACTCTCAGCCTCTTTCCCGTCGCCAGACCACTAACCTCCCCACTAGTTGGCCCAAAAATCAACCCTCTGGTAGGAGCATTACCTTTCATGTTTTTCCCTTTAACCCCTGTATTTTTCCATGTCTTGTTACCACTGGTCTTTCTCTCCAACTCTACTGAACGTGTCCCGATTTTCTCTGTAACTGGCCTCCCAACAATCTGCTTCCCAACACTCCTATTCAAATCAATTACTTGGTTTACCACATTCGTATTCTGCTCATTCTCCTTGTTCTCCTCCTTAGAACAGATCTCCTTACTTAAAAACTGAACCTCTGTCTCACCTTCCAAACCACTGAAACTATTTGATAGGACCATTGGAACTTGGGAACAGTCCCGTACCCTATCCAGCCCCTGTTGAGTCTGCCTCTCACCTGAACCTCCTGCAGAGAACACCTTCACACCTTGTGCCCCTGTTTTCCCAGACCGTCGCCCTGTGTTTCTCACCTCAGTGAATCCATCACTTACTTTTGCAACTGCCTCTAGACCTACTTCACTTTCTGACACTGTTACATTCCCTGCCACTGTCTGCTGCACAACCAGCTCGAAAACTCTCTTTGGACAGACGCTCCCTGCATGACCAAACACACCACATACCGGACAGATATTACTCAGCCCTTCGTATGACACATAATACCGCTCCCCATTCACCATTATCGTTCCCTTCAACGGTTTTTTCAGATTAACCTCTACACAAACTCGAGCAAACCGTGCCCTCTCCACCCTCACCGTCGTCAAGTCCACCTTAATTGGTTTTCCCAAACCCTCAGCTATCCCCATCAAAATAGTACGATGATAGAAATTGATTGGTAGATTTGCAATCCGCACCCATACCGGAGTTGTAACGATCTCATCACGCAGAGGATCAAAGTCCGGTGACCAAGCCTTCACCATCATAATACTCCCGAAGACTCTCCATGGACCACTTGTGACTGCCTCCAAATACTCCTCTTCCAAGGCAAAACGGAGCATGAAGAATTACCTCGGCAAATCCAACACCATCAGTCCACCCTTAAGCTTCTACAACTCTCTTACTTTCCGATTCAACGCAGCAATCGTGATGTGACGACCCAAAACTTTCACAATCATACAGCGCCGGTACAAACCATTCATCGCATCCAATACTTCTCTCCCAATTTTGACCACAGCCTCGCCATCTTCACCGCTTGGAAACTCCAAGCTCATACGTGACATCACAAAGCCCTCTTCTACAACCATCTCCGGGATCGGAATCCCTCCTCCGTTACAGCCCTGAACTTTCTCAACCCACAGCCTAGATCCATCTGAACTCAACCCAGGTGGCCGACCATCCTCTTCCATCGATTCATCTTGTTCCCTTGTGTCTGTAACCCTAGCACCGCCAGAGCTCGTGTCGCCCATAACAGAAGTGTGTTATAATACTAGTTTTCCATATCTCAGATATTGGAGAGAAGTTCTTGAAGGTTGATCAGATGCATTTTTAGGAACATTTGCAAGGTCCCTGAACATTGCAGGCTTATTAGAACTCAAAATAAGGTAGGGAAACATGGCGGACCTAGAAGGCTAGAAATAATTTTTATCCAGGTCAAAATTATAAAATAGAAAAAACAATTACATATAAATATAAATATAATATAAATTCTAAGATATATCTAAATTTGAGATCACCAAAAAAAAAGATATATCTAAATTTGTGGGGGCTTTTGGAGTTTTAAACACAAATGTAATGGTGTCAAAAATGCAAAATTTGTCAATTTCCCATTAGAAGTTTAGAACTAATTAAATATGTCCTAAAAAAAGTCAATTTAATTAATAATATTAGGGGGTCACATGACACACTTTAGCTCTTCATTGTGTGTGGAAGTGAAGATATGTGAGACACCTTGATCAGTTTCTCACTCCAGTCGATGTTCTGATGCGGAAACCTGGATCGTTGACAATTTTGTTTTATACTTGCTCTGTTTTATAATATGTTTTGGAAAAAAATTTTGTTTCACAATATAAATCGTTTTCAAGTTTTTATACAAATTATATACCACTTTAATATTTTATAATTATTTATATTATACAGTTTTTTTTATGATTGGATGGACTTTTTAAAAGTATATATTTTTAATCTGCGTGTTTTTAGCTAAAACGATTTATATTATGAAACAGAAGGAGTATAATTTTAGATTTATTCTTAAGATGGATCTGAGATATACAAAAAGATGGAAAATCGGAGTGTGTGTGTGAGAGCGAGCATGGTTTTAGAGGAAGATGAAGGGGTTTGAGATTTTTTGATATGGTTCCAAGCTTCCAAAGATTGTGTGATCATGGTGTGGTATGAAAGAAAATTTAGGGATTTCTATTTTTGAGAATACTTTTCTGTTTTTTTTCATGCTTTTTGTTTAGGTTAAAAATTTATATTTCAACATATGTAAAAGGAAAAAAAAAATCGGAGGAAATTTCTTTTTATTTATTAATATTAAAACATAGGCCATGTGGCAAAATTCGATCGGGTAAGTGATTTGTGTTTCATAATATTAAAGATTTGAAAATAACCGTTTATGAATTTTTGTATGTACACATATACTGAACCTACCTAGTAACAAGGAGTGGTGCCGTGGTTGTGACTGACTGGTGCGCAAAAGATGGTAACAAGTAACAACCCAAAATATTTGGATTTACAAATATAATCTTGGAAAAAAAAGTCCAGATATTGACTCCTTGACTCAATCTTCTTCTCCCCCTCAATATATAAAGGAATATCAAGTAAACAAAAAAAAACAAAAAAAACCACAGCTGAATCATCCATTCTTTTGCTATTTGTCTGCTTCGTTGATTTCACAATGATTAACGTCAAATATATACGTATAATCATCGGAATTATTGGTACGATCTGCGTCTCTCTCTCTTTTACGATCGATGTGTTTATCTTTGTGCGTATCTATAGCCGTGTGTGATATGGTACTGATCCATGTGCACCAGTGTAGTTGTAGTAGTCATTTGATTCCAAAGCTTTATAGATGTTTTCACGGAACTACAATCAATCGTTAATCCATGTACATACAAGCACTTTTTTGTGTAAATATTACTGACAATTTTTCTCTGGCTTGATGCAGGGAATGTTCTGTCCACTTTGATCTCCCTCTCACATATGTAATAATCCCTTTTCTTCTTTCTCATGTTTTTTTCTTTTTTCACATTCGTTTTGTGTATGTTTGTGTTTACGTATGTACTCTATTTCGAACGTTTTTTTTTTTTTAATTATTTTCTTCCTTAGTAATTTGTCACCAACATAATTTGTATATTGGTAAGGTTTACTATAATGCGTGTAATCTGTCTTGTTTTAGTGGTTTCTAGCTAGGATCATTACTCCTCAGATTTATATAAGTATTACTGTTTTCAGATTTATATAAGTTTTGTTGTTTTTTTACAAAAAAGAAGAAGGATCATTGTAGTCAAGAGTTATAAGCATTTTCATGTATATACAGGCCAGAGTATATACAAATATACAAGAAGAAATCAGTGGAGGGAGTTAAACCTGATCGTCATTTACTGATGTTGATTAAATGTAGTTTGTGGGTTTTGTATGGTCTCCCTGTTGTTCACAAGGACAGTATTCTCGTCACCACTAGTAATGGTGTCGGTTTCGTTATCGAAGTTATCTATGTGGTTGTCTTTTGTATCAGCTGTGACGACCAATCACGTGTAGGTCCATCTTTTATACTTAAATATGTCTAATACTGTATATTGATTTTGATGATGTCGATGTTGACGTTGATGTGCAGACGGATGTCGTTTATGTAAAACTTTATTTAGAGTTTTGCTTTGTGGTAGTTTCCTATGCGAATACTATTTGGGCAATTGGAAGTTTAGTCGCCAAGCATACACTCATTGGTATTGTTTGCAACCTTTTCAACATTAGCATCTATGTTTCATTTGCCAAGGTAAGCTCTCTCTCCCTCTCTCTCTCTCTTATAGTCTTATTGATGGATAAGTAGACTATTAATTACCGCTTTTGATTTTTTTTTTTTTTTATGCGTGAAACAATTAGGAAAAGATGGTGGAGACTAAAACCTTAAAGTCCATGCCGTTTCGGTTGTCGTTACTTAGTTTCATCAACGCTGGACTTTGGACGGCTTATTCTTTGATCTACAAAATTGATATCTACGTCCTTGTAAGTCTTTTTTTTTTTTTTGGCTTGAAAACTTAATGTATTAATTGATTTCCATTAGCAGATTGAATTTCATTTATAACATTTATTTTGTTCTTTTTCTGTTATGGGACAGATATGCAGTGGTCTTGAAACGTTGTTCTGTGCTTTTCAATTAATAGTCCATGCTTGTTCTTACAAGCCACACCAAGTCGGCGTTATTGGATAATACTTTGGAAGTTTGGTGTTTGGATAATACTTTGGTATGCATGTTATGTGTAAGGACTTATTATTAAGAAATCGACATGCGCAGACATTTTGAAAAAAATACTATTTGGTAATTTTTAGTAGGAACTATCAAATTAGCGTAGCCAAAAAAGATGGTTTTAAAGAATTTGAAACTCAACAGCTATAATTTTTAAAAAAATTTCAACTCATACGTTGACTAGAAATAACTCGATATATTCTATCGACTGCAACAAATATTGGAAACGGTGAGAAACCGGTGGTTCTTCAAGTGAAAGATTATCATCATTAGTGAGAAATGAGAATGTGTGTTAAGGGGTTGGTATAATATAAATAAAGAAAAATATTCAGGAGGTTTTCTTCTTTACATTAATATAAAACGTTTGATATTAATTAGAATATTAATTAATACAGTATTAGGATATATAAACACGTTTCATTTATACTTATCTCCATATATAATCGTAACAATAACATTGAGGAAAACTAAAACATTTTTAAAAATGTAAAAGCCTTTAAAAAAATCCAATTCTTATGATTTGTTAGGCCATGTATTAAGAGTTGTTAATCCACAATCACTAAAAACATATTGAAAAAAAAAAAATCTTTGGAAACTCTGCTAGTATAACTAAAGGATTTAATCTTCATAGTTTTTAATGAATACAAAAAGCATAATGAATTTACTCTAATTAAGCAATAGAAGAGATTGAATGAAATGCAACGAAGAGATAATAGTGTTATTGTTTAGATGTGACTCGGCCATTACATTGAGAACAGAATTGAGCTGTTTCAAGATCACGAATTACAACCACCATGAAAACACCCATGAAAACAGCTGAGAAACCACAAATGAATCCCTGAATCGCATCCTTGCCTTCGGTGAAACATAGACAAATAAGTACTGACCACATAATAACACATAAAGATTTTCCGACGTTAAATTCCTCCACGGGATGTGATAGCTGGAAGATCGCAATGCCACAAGTGATCACAGAAATTGCAAACACCACTCCAAAGTCACTATGGCATGTGAACGCAATAACGAATGCAGTCATATAGACGCAGAAGGGGTAAAACCATTCCAAGTGTGGTCCGATCTTGTGACTTGGAGGTGGACGATCGAAGAAGAATGTTCGGGTGAGACCAATGGCATAGAGAGATGTGAGAACTACAGCTAAGTATTTGGAGTTTGGGATCTCAACGAGCGATCCGTCCTCTCGCTTGGACGGCCAAAGAGCACCACTGGAGTAGGCAAGACCAATTAGAGAAGACACTGCCAAAACATAATAAATTGCACGGCCAATTGGAGTGACGACCTCATCATAGGGTTTCCTATCTTCCATCTTGATTAAAGACAACATATTAACACAAAATTCATAGATAAAAAAAATAGAAATTAAACCTTAACGAGAACTCACTTTGGGGTGGGAACGGTTGCAATCATTGTCAGGCGATAGGGTTGTAGACATTGTCCAAGGATACAAAAATTATAAGACGGAATTATTAAGGCTAAGAGAAGATCGAACTATAACTAATTAAGAGAATATACTGTATGTTTGTTTTAGATGATTTTGTTTCTTGTTTACTTCCTATACCTAACCTCACGGGAGTTGTTACAGTCCATTATATCTTTCATTTTTTCTTCCCATGTTTATCTCTAATTTGGGTACCAACTGGAAATCATTTTATTTTTTAACGGGATAAAATCAAAGTGAATGGTAGATTAAAAATTAACTTTCTTTGAAAAATTAAATAGTCGCACTTTTCTATAACAGAAAAATATGTGGAAAGATTTTTAAATCTATTTCGCTAAATTTATCCATGCTTGTTCCATTTATTCATCTTATATGATTTAATTCCATCCCTATATTATATTTGTGGAGTTTATTCATCCTTTCCGTTTCTAATAAAATTTTAACCTCAAGAATCCTAATTCCATCCATTATTGATTAAAAAACCCAATTAACTTGAATCATACATCATATCAAATTAAGTTCAGAATCTCGTAAACGAATACTTTTTCTATTGGTACGACGAGAATAATCATTGGTAACAATAAAGAGAGCAAGAATAAATTTTTTTAAAAAAAACCCAAAATATTCATTAAACATAGATTAACTAAAAAACATTACAGAGTCTGATCAAATTCCATATGTAAATGGATTACAATGTTGATAACATTAGAAGAAAAAAGGACAAACACATTGATATGACAAATATCAAACAAAGAAAATAAAGCCTCTTACGAACTAGATCTGACAATCATTTTGAGAGAAAAGTGATTCAATAGAAACTGAATGCCCTATGAGTTGGTCCAGGATAGTTGAAATAGTAGATAAACAATTCAAAAACATAAAGAGTAAAAAAGCAGAACCAAAATGGCTGGATTTTTGGATCATAATAGCATGCATAGAGAGCAGAGAAACCTCCAAATACCAAAATAACCACTACATAAAAGAAGTGAAATCCGTCGACTGGGAAAACCAACTGAACCAACACAAAAATTCCAAAAACAATTGATAGGATCAAAACTGATACGGCAAAGGTTGGGAAATTGAAGACGGTAAAGTAGATTATGCTAAACAGTATCAGAGGGACAACCATTCTCACCCATCGATGTGCTCTGTAAACCGGAAATGGAGCTTCAGAGAACATGGAAGTCAAGACGTGAATCACATAGAGAGATACAACAACCATTCCCAGATACTTGTAACCGACATACATCTCGATCTTCAAGGCATTCACAGCACTCACAGCTCCAAAAACGCAGAGAAAAGCCAAGATAGTCCAACCAGTTCTGGTTACTGGATCGTTCACACCATAAACTTCAACTCTCTGGGGAATTTTCGGCTTTTTTTTCCTATTTTTCTTACCCTTAGATCTTTTGGACATTGTTGCTGGGTTTTTTTTAATAAGAAACGGAGTCAGGAAGATGAACTGCGATGGAAAAGAAAGATGCTTTAAAAGCGACGGAAAAAAAAGAAAGAAAGATGCTCCAAAACTAGGGTTTGCTTCTTTCTCTGTCGTTGTGTGCTAGGTTGTTAGGGTCTTATAGCGAGTAAATGGAGAAAACCGGAAACGTCAGTAAAACCATGTGCTGCTTTCGACAACTGTCATCCACTCACTAATTATTATTTTGTTTTTTGGTTTTATTTTTATTTTTTATTTTAATTGATAGCATACCGTGTCCCAGATGATTCGTCTATTTCCTCTCTTGAAAAGTAATGACTTTTTTATCTCTCTTCCAAATAACTAGGTTGAAAAAGTAATAATCTTGGGAAGATTACACGAAAAGAAAATGAAAGATTGATTTTAGAGTTTTAAATTTCGAATTGACATCTAAATATATTTAAATACTCATTTACTAGCACATACTGTATTTTTTTTGATAATAATTATATTTAGATACCAACTTGCAATTTTGATTCGTATTACGAGCACAAAAAATAATACGAATAACAAGATAGAATGATAGGACTACATTTCTTCTATGAAAATTTTGTTTTGTATTAGCAAAATATTCAGAGATGATATCGTTGTAAAATCCACAACAAAAAGTGGCCTCGCTCGTTTACATTAGACTTAAAACCACATAAGTGATAGTATTTATCAAAATTTTAGCGTGTTAATTTTTCATCAACGTTACAACTTACAAGTGTCTCTCCCAAATGAACCGTCACCTCGGTTAACTCTATACTCATTACACGCATTGAAACCTCTACACAAATTAGCACAAAGAACACATCATCACACCTCAAATTTCCGCAGGTAATGAACCGTATATATGCTCATGCCTCATGTTCACAATGAGAGATGAAAGCAATGACATCCTAAATAAATAAATAAAATCATGCCTAACGATCCGAGGCATTATTATAGTACTTTTACCATCATCAGAAAATAGTTTTTCAAAAATTGTACTGTTCTTTGTTGCTTTTTTTTTTCGGTTTTATAAATTTATACAGTTATATATGTACCTAATTTTTTTTTCTAAACCTGAGTGAGTTACCAAATTCACCCTAAAAATGGTGTTAAGAAAATTTTCACAGTTAAAGTGATTTCAAACATATGGACAGCTTTGAGCATTTTTTTTCTCTCTCATGGCATATAAATTACAAGATACATAAGGGAAATGCGATATTTATTTAAACGTTATCTTAACTAAAGATTTCACTCAAAAAGAAAGGCCATTCCGATAGTCCGGAAGCAGTGTTCTAAAAAGCGGTCTAGGCGGTCGCCTAGGCCCCGACTAGACGCTAGGCTCTCATGCGACGCCTAGATTACCGCCTTGACCGCCTAAAATCACATAGATCTTGTTTAATGTATTTTTTCAATTTCAATTAGAGATTTATTTTTATATATAGTTATAAATATTCATATATTTTTTAATATAAATATAAATAAATGTTTTATCTAGTTTTTGTTTATAATTTCATAATTTTTAGTTTTATATAGATATTTTATATAACTTTTATATATAATATTATATTTATAATTTTTTATGTTATAAACGTCTAAACCGCCTAAAAAATCGCCTAGGCCCGATTAAGCGTTCTAGGCGCTAGGCACTGGGTCACCGCCCGCTTAGCGCCTAGCGCTTTCTTGAACACTGTCCGGAAGTGAACAAATTTTTTAATTTCAGAAGCTTTCTTAACTAGGTACATTATATCATATGGCATTAGCATGCAAGACACTATCTATATCCCAAAAATGAGGTCAACGGTCAACAAGACTTAATTATGTTTAGATTTTCATGCGATCCAAACTATTGTTTTGGGCGGATTTTTTAAATAAATTATATAGAGTTCACAGACGAGTTTGAAGGAAGTGTTTTCTTTTATGTACTGTGCGAAATAAAATTTTGAATACAAATTTAAATATTAATGTTTGTGATGTAGTAGAGCAATGCATAATCGATAAATCCGGAAAAGTGTGCCCCGATACAACAAAAGCAACAACGGTTAAGAAAATTATCGTAAAATTAACAAGCCCAAAAGTAACAGACATGATTATAATATCCTTATTAAACAAATTAACACAAAATCAAAATACGTGAAACATTACTTAAACCGTAAACCCTCAAGTCTCAACTCTCAACACGTATTGGGAGACTAAACCGGCGGCTTAAAACTATACGCTCCTTGCCGAAGTGGAACTCCTGGCTGAGTGGAAAACATCGGCCTGAGGATCGATTGGGAAAGCTAAGTCCCTCCTACTGCCTCTGCGTCGAGCTCCATCTCCGCCACGGCCATGAAGACCACCAGCACCTCCAGCAACCGGTGAACAAAATGTTCTTTCCCAATATCAAAAACCAACATATGAAGATCCCACCTACTCTAAGTTTGGCGGATTTACAATAGTGAGTGAAAATAGGCAAGGTTACACAAGCTATCCCATCTGCGAACCCTAAATCATTCCCCACATGGCAAAGTTTAATAAGACTAACAACGCTGAGATAAGCACACACAAAGCATGAAGCAATATTCATTTCAGCTACCGATTTATCTGCAACATGGTCACCAATATAAACCATTAACCTTAACATTGATATTTCCCCAGTACTCTTACCTAGACAGTAAAAGTTAACCCCAATCTGTCCTTGAATATTAAAAACTCTCCTAATATTGTCTTCTCCCGCAAGAGTTGCAGCCAAAACCAGAAGGATGATAAAGATAAGGAAAATCCCATTCATAGTCCAAAAAAGTGGGATTAAATAAGATTTTTCATGATTTTTCTCATGTTTCGCTACTAACTTTTCCCACAAACTTGATCTCTCAAAGTATAGAAACGCTCTCCAGTAACAAAGTAGACCTTGCACCATTAGTGTGTACCTAAACCCATACAACCACGAGATCCCTCTCAAAACCCTATTGATTCCTAAGAAAATAGGTCTCAATATAAAGAGGAAGATAGGACGCATAACATACTGGTAAATGGGATGGAGAACAAACTGGTAACTGGGACGGAGAACATACTGGTAAATGGGATGGAGAACAAACTGGTAACTGGGACGGAGAACATACTGGTACATGGGATGGAGAACAAACTGGTAACTGGGACGGAAAACATACTGATAAACAGGAATTGACAAGGTAGAAAGAGAAAGGAAGAAAGCGGATCTAAAAATGGTGGAGAGAGGAAGAAAAATGGGAGAGAAAAGAGGAGTGGCACCGTGGATTGTTTTTATAATACAAATAAAATCATTAACATTTATCATCAATAAAATTACGTCATTTGTTGTTTGTCGTTATCCACATGCATTCCTCGTCTTTTTTTTTGTTGTATGTGTGTGAAACTTTACTTTAGTTAAGCCAATGGATTTTTTCATAAGGTTCGTTATTGAAGTGTACAATTGATGTTTTTATGCATAATTTTCGTAGGTACTTTGTAATTTCAAAATTGAGTTAATTATTTGAACTTTTCTAGTTTAGCAAAAAAAGAAAATTTATTCATACCAAAAAATATATTTTAAACATATAATGACAAAACCCTAATAATTATCCAGGGTAATCCAATTATGAGTAGTGGTCATCATTTTCCTTTAAATTTTTTATATTAGTAGTACTAAGTAACAAAATTTGATATGGTAATCTTAATTTTTATATTCAAAACCTAAATTAGTACTTTTAACCCTTTTTTTTTTTGTAGATAAAGTGTTACTTTTTTACTTCTTTCAGTAAAAATAAAACAACCCTAAAAAACCATGTATTTTGTCTTTTATATAAAAAAAGTGAGATGTGACAGCGACGGGATTGAAGGTCGCGATACTTCCCCAACGGCAACAAATCTTTTTGGATTTTTTGGTCAATACTTTTTTTTTTCCTTTTGACATCCGGTCAGCCGGTCTGCATCAATCAGTACTTATTTTTTTGGATAAAGACATTGTTTAGTTTAATAATCTTAATTCATAGATAGTAGAATAATTTAATATGATTAGCAAACGTGTTGGGAGTTGTAAAATCCAGCCGCTTGTTCATTTTATCTTTAGGTAAGTTTTCAATGCTTGAAAGTCGTTTATATCTTATAAGGTCAAACCCTAAATTAATCATAGTCTATACTGTAGTTGTTTACTAATAAATAATACTATAATAAGAAATCGTACAGTCGGGCAACTGCGTGGTATTTATATATATATTCATCAGTTTGTGTTATTTTAGCATACTTTTAGGAGAACATATTAATAAAATGTAAATTAATTCGAAAAAACTTTATTACAATAAGTGCATGCATTGTTAGATTAAACATTTGTAGCTAAAATTTCCAACAAAGACTATATTCTTAGTGTGTTTATCTTTTGAGGCAAATCCTCATATCTTCTATCTCTTTATTCCTTTATGGAGGAAATGCGGTTTCCAACTTGTTTGTCAAGACTATGTATCAAATGAGTTGGAGGAGTTGTAGCTTTGCCATGTTTCCGGCAGTTTCGCTCCTTCCAAATTGAGTATACCGCCAACAGAAAAGAGTACCTTAGTTATTAAGAAGAGGCTGATGTTCCCAAGCTATGTGTCTGTGAGTGTTTGGTGAACATCGCCCCCATCTTGTTGAGAATTTTGAAAACATAGTTAAAAATGACACAAACTGAACGAAAAGTTGGGATATGTTTGAAACGATTAAATACGCGAAAAGCTTGCACACTTTTATCAATTTTTTTTAGGGCGTTTATCATAAACCTCAAATTTGGGTTAAATCGTTTTTTTGGGTTTTGAAAAAATCCTATTGAAACTATCTGACCAAATATTTGGTTCAGTTCGTTCTCGAATAGTTTGGTTCGGTTACGTATACATAATTTATACAAATATTTTGATCGTTTTGGTTATCAATTTTAGATGTTTTTATATAACCGAACCAAACTGACCGGATAGCTGAACCATTTGAAAATCATGCCGATCGGTTCAAATATAATAACTGATCCCAAACGGAAATGACCAAAACCTCCTAACCGGAATTACGAAAAACTGGTTCGGTCGGTTTGGAAAATTTGTTTCGGGTCATAACGGAGGCCTAGACTTTATCATATATTCACATGCATCGCCATTTATATATATATATGTGTTTCATAGTGTAGGATAAATAATTCGTCTATTAAGATGTGTTTATAAATATGAATGTCTTTCCGAAAAAAAAATTTAGTTTTCAAGTCATAATTGGAAAACATGATTAGCTAAAGGGACAATGTTTTTAGATTTAGATGGACAATAATTGCACTCGTGCGAAATCGGCTTAGTGGAAAGACGACACTTAGTGCATGTACGATGTGTATTTTGGTGAAAACAATAAGAGGTTTAAGAAAAGAAGAGTGTGGTTGGAACTTGGAACTCTCTACTTAACGAACACGATAGATCCCGGGAGGACTGTTCACAACGGCTAGCATGTCAGAGCTACTACAAGGGTGAGCTCAGCTCACTATCACGGCTCCCGAGATGCTTTGCAATATATGAGACATTGGGCTCATTACCGGAAGTTCCTTCGAGGGCTTACCTTCGTCACATTTTTCGTAAATGTTCTTTTAATTGTTTACATGATGATGGTCATATGACATCTTTTGCAACGAGTGACTATAAAATAATTTTATGGTCCCACTTAAAGATATGGCAAACCATTAATAGATAATTATATTGCATCATAAAGATTGATAATAAACAGTTTTACATTACATATAAGATTGGTAATTTTTTTTTTTTTTTTTTCTGATCAAATGATAAACTCTACTTTTGTTTCAAGTTGGAGATTTCATGTAAACTTGCATTCATTAATTATTGTCTGAAAACGAAATCCCAAATGTAGCAAAAAAAAAGAAAGAGAGTAAAATGCTGGATCAGTCACGTGACAGGATTACATCAAACATAAAGCCATAAAGGTCAAGTTCATAAAACAATACCCTTTCACTACAAAAAAAGATTACATTGATAGCACTTAAGCATAGCACAATTTTCGATTTTGCTATGAAAAAGACTACGTCGGATTGGAATACTTTATTATAGCATTTATAAAATGCTATGCCGAAATTTTTTTTTTGGTTTCACGCCTATCTTTTAAGTGCCCGCTTAAGTGAAAAACAAGCGGTTCATTTTCCCTCTTAACACTTAGGGAAAAAATCCTCTATCTCTTCTATTCTCCAAGTCTCCATCTCCAAACCCTAATTTCAATTCACCTTATTGGCTGCAGAGCTTTCTGGATTCACAAGCTCAGCTTCAGGAATTGCATTGGAGCGAGAAGATCGGATTCTCGTCGGATTGAATTCCACCACTGGAAGCGGAATCTTCGAATATCCGATGAGATTCGCGTCTTCTTCCTCAGATCGTTGAAGAAACAGTTTCTTGCGTCTAGGCTCGTCGGCTTCCTTCGATTCCGGCGATGGACGTTTCACGGGGCTGGTGGTTGAGGTGGTTGAAGAGGAGCCGAAAGATCCGAAGTTGAAGATGGTGCCAGATACTTCGTCGACGACTTCAATCTCTCTCTCTCGACCGCCGCTTTTATCCCTCTCAGTCTCCCTCTCTCTTTTTTCCCCCTTTCCTTCGATTTTGTCATAACCCTAATTTTACTTCTTTATTTCGTCTTGTTTTTGCTACAGGTTATCCTAAGAGATTTAAATCGAGAAGGGAAAAAATCTCTGAGCTTCTTTTCTCTTGTAGAGTGAATCGATGCATCAGATGCGACCATCTCGAGCTTACGATTCCGGGGGACGACGAAGAGGGAGAGGCTAATTTGGGATGTGGAGTCGCCGGTGATGATGGTGTTACGAGGGTTGATGTTGATGAAGATTATGAAGAAGCTGGTGGTAGTAAAGAGAGCAAAGCTAATAGATTATAGATGAGGTTTTTGATCTAAAATCGCAATCAAAAATCTTTGTTGATTCCATTGATGTGAAGCTTGATTCTGATTGTTTCTTGTTCTTGTGTTTGCAGCCAATCTCGGTGTTGCTCGAATCCTTGAGAAAGCTTCAATTGATGTCTTTGAATTTGGATATTCTTAAGGTCGGTCTCTAGTGGATTAGTGTATGAAGTTTGTTGTTGTTGATCTTAAGGTTTTGAGATTCTTCTTTCAGAGTACTGAAATCGGAAAGGCTGTTAATGGTTTGAGGAAACATGGGTTTTGATAAGATTCGCCAACTCGCAAAGACTATTATCCTGTATGAGTTTTATCTTTCGTTAAAGAACACGAAATTTGGCAATTTCTTTACTCTTTTAAATGTGCCATTAAGGTTTTCATGTGTATATGCAGTGAATGGAAGGAGTTGGTAGCAGAAACTCAAAGCTTTTGATGCAGACGCAAGAAGTGAAAAGCTCCAGGACCTTAACAAGAAGTGAGTGTGGGAATCAAAGAGTTTTAGTCGTATTCTTGAGCAGGGAAGTAACGGTTTTAATCCTTCTTTGTTCATGGCAGAAACTCAAAGCTCTTGATGCAGACGCAAAGTTCCAGTTTGCTAAGAGGAAACTTCAAGCGAGCTACCAACAACATGAGAACGGTTTGTTCCTTTACCTCTTGTGATTTTTGACTGTGAACATTTGTGTTTGCAGGTAGATTCAGGCTGGGACATTGATGAATAACTATGCACATATATTTGATGCAAAACCTCTAATAGGTTTGCCTCAGCAGGACCTCTAAAAGGAATTCTCAGGTATACAGATGAAGATGTTGTATCTCTTCTTTTTCTTCAAAGTGATATGAATATCTTGAGTTTTGGCTTTGTGGTTGATTTCGATTTTGTTGTAATAGGTCAAGTATGTTTGATGCCAATGATGGGATTCATTGAGCAAGTCCTTTGGCCAATATTTTGTTACTGTGATGAAATGACAAATCACGAGCTGATGATGGCGGGGAACCACGATATCTCGTTTAGGCAGGAGCAATATATGGAAGCTCGACAGAATTATGAGCATTTTAATTTTATTTCCATTTTTTTTGTAAAACTTTGATCTAACTCTTTTGTTGGTTTGTAATGTTAACAATTATATAAACATATTTTGTTTAAGTTTAATTGTCTTTTCATTTTAATATTTTCCGAAAAAATAGCGTAAAAAAAAAACAAAATTGACGAAAATATATAATATAAAAGGATTATTATATTTAATATATACCTAACTAATAACAACAAATAAATGCTATTAAAGGTAGTAATGGCATTCGATTATTGCTATGAAACAATAAATAAAGACATTAAAAAAGTGCTATTGTAGATGAACATACTATAGCAGACAAAATTAATGCTATTGTAGGTGGGGTATCTACTATAGCTGCCGCAATCATAGCAGTTGTTATTTCGCTATGTATTACCTATGATAGCACTTTTTCCGCGCTAAGAATGTAAGTTTTTTTTGTAGTGTTTATTCAAAGCTTTTCTCAGTTTACATGTAAAAAGCCAATAAGTTTTCTCGTCAATGGACAATGAATCAAAAACATTCCTTATTTTGTTTCCTTCTCCTGTATTCTCTTGAGGTCCCTACTGAAATGTCAACGTCTACAAAAAATCCCCTATGATACACAATATTCGACGGCATTACGGAAAAAACGTTATACATTTTGGATAAAGCATATCCAAATGATGTAAAAAAAAGAAGAAAAATGAAGAAGATATAGCATATCCAACGTTAACCATGCAGCTATCTTGAGATTGTAAGAATACGAATTAGGTAATCGTTAGTCACAAAAATATTCCTTAAGTTATAGCGTCTCACTAATAAAGACTTGCATCCTAAATTCCTAATAAAGAAAAAAAGAAAACAAAAAAAGATTTGCATCTATCACAGTCATCTAAAAGGGTTTATTGTTGAGATGGGCATTTTGTGCTATGAAACTTTGAAAAAAGGAACTTCTTTTGGGCATTTGTGGAAAGCAAAAAAAGACGTTTTTACTCTTGAAAGCTTTGTGAAGAAAATTAAGCTTTACATATATCCATAGAGAACTCATACGTACAACAAAAATATGCATATCCACGAATTGAATGCTAATATTTGGACAGAAGAAAAAACGAATAATGAGGTGAATAGAAATTACATTACTGCAAATTACATTAATGCATATCCATATTTGTTCCAGTAAATTACTGCAGAAAACGATTTGAAAGTTGCACTATATATTTTGAAATCATTGTAGGCCTGCATATTATAAAATTGAGGAACGGCCACGGACTTCCTTCAACACCTAGCTAACTAGGAGAAAAAGTATAGTGTGAGACGAACGAAGATGCACCGGCCACCGGTCCGTAACAACTTCTCGTTTTTCTTAAATACAAGTGAGCCAGTGACCATAAAGTATATAACAACCAAACAACCTTTAAATATCTTCATAAAAAAAAACAACCTTTAAATAATACCAACAAATATTAACAATAAAAGAATAATTAAACCAATCAAAATATTATTTAAACGTTTAAACTACACTATATAGTACTATATACTAGCAACCTATCTTTCTTTTTATTTAATTTTCAATATCTTTCTTTTTATTTGACCGTTAGAAAACTGAAAAGAAAAAAAAAGATTTCCAATGAAAATGATTACTCTGAGGACAATATTATCATTATGTATATTTTTGTTAAAATCATTATATATTTAAAACTGAAAAAATGTTATCATCATCTATACTATTATAATCGCAGCATTTTTTGTGACGGATGGGTAAAAAAGCTTTCGGGTATATCGGATATCCGATCTATTTTAAAAATTCCTTCACAAAAATTTGTTGGGTCGGGTTATATTTAACCCAACTCATACACCGGATATTCCATATTTAATAATTTAGATTTTTAGAAGATTTGATTAAGATTTATAATTATGATTCTCCTATCATCTTTGTTTGATTTGTTTTTAACTGTTTTGAATCATCATATAATACATAAAGTAAAAAAAAATCAATTTTTTTTCTGCATATACTGTGATTCAAAATTTTAAAAACAGACATATATTATCCAATTGACGAAAATGTGTGTTCAACGTTCTACATCGATTAAAATATTTAGACAGTGATTCAGTATCATATCATTAATAAGAACATTAATAAAATAAATGAGTTTTTTGGCGGGATGAGTTTTTGAATCAACAATAATAAAAAGATTAAAATATCATTAATCCGCCGCTTCAATACGGATTTAATCCTTATTTTTTTTAATACAAATCACATGACGGGTTAAGAAATTACGGAACGGGTTATATTTCGGAAATGATTTATATGGCGGACGAATTTGAATCAATATTTATATACCGCTTTAATACGGGTTAAATCCTCAGTTTATTAATAATTATCTCGTGGACTCGTGGCATATCGTTACTTAATAACAATTGTAAACTATAATATAAATAAATATGTTATAAGGAGATACAATTTACAAAATATTTTTATACTAACTTTAAAATTAAATCATCTCGCGGTGTACTGCGGGTTAAAATCTAGTTGTTGCGTAAGAAAATAGACTAATAGGAGTAATAGCTATTGATCAGACGATTTCCCAGAATGTTGAATTTATTTGCTATCTTTGACTAATAAAATAATATGTATATATCACAAACAGGTGGTGTACGACTGTGTGAGACCTTTTTTGTTCTTTTTTTTTTCGTGCCATTTATTTTGCTCCTCTCTAGTTTATTTAAAATGTACATTAAACAGTTTTACTCTTGTAAATATGATAAATCTTGGCTAATTCGAAATTAGTTAATGATCTTTGAAATATGAGAAATATTCTATGATCACAGGGGAAAAACCACCTTCAGGAAACTGAAAGATGAAGACCAATTACAAATCAAGCCGACCAATGAAATTGTGTTATGTACTTTAACCAATTTATTTTCCACTAAACTAGTACTATCATCGATTACATAACATATTTTTTCTTTGGTTAAAGTACACAACACAATTTTTTATAGAAACTTATATTAAAAAAAATAGACAATCGTTATGTTTGTACGTCAGGCTATCCCGTCCAAGTCCAACACGTTGGACCCTTGGACATTCCTTCGGAACAAGAAAATTAGTAGCTCATTAATTGACAGCTCTAAAACAACTACTAAAATTCGATTATTTTATAAATAAAACTAAAAATTCAAAATATATCTAAGTCTTATGCAAGACAAACATATTAATCGGAGTCGAGTTTAAATCTAAACTCACATTAGATTTAGATCATTCTTTATAAAGTCTGCAAGTCTTGTATCTTCCGTAAAGAGCCATTAACAGTGGGAGGGAAGATTGTCACTTTACCGGGGATGGTCTAGTACAATGTTTTTGGTTTTATTTGTTTCGTTTTTGAGGATAATAAGCAAGTTATGCAGAGAAGAAGCAAATCGAGATTGTGAGTGTATGGCGTTTGATGTCTCATGTTGCATAAGTGGTCTTGTTTAGAGTTTTAGTTGATATAGTACAAATTATCATCTCACACAGGAAGATATTGTAGAAACAGAACCAGAAAGGTTACATACTTGCATGCTCGAGAGATTTATTCGCAGCAAATCGATTGGTTCTCTTTTTGCAGCTTCTCCCAAAGACACAAAATTAATCGAGGAGTTTGGTAATGAACAAGAATGTAATTTGATTTACAACCACTGTTATGAAATCTTTTGTCATTGATGTACTTCACTCTTTTTATTGTCTCGTTGAATTGTTGAATCCATATCCCCATCGCCACATCTTCCAGCTTGAAAAGCTTTCAACAAACAACATAAGAACATCCTCAGTTATGATCTCTCGGATTCGTCATATCTAAACTCTATGATGATGAAACTACAAAACTCACTCTAAGATCTCTTTGACGGTGACCCTTCACCACAAATTTCGCGATATCATGAGAGATGATGTAGCCAGGGCCATGTGCCCATGGAGGGTATGAATCTAAAGGCCATTCCTTTACAAAGAGAAAGCTATATATGAGTCTCTAAGAGGATAGAGCACACAGAGGTGTGAGAAATATTGAGAAGTTTTTACCTCTTTACGGATAAACCATTTGCTGCCTTGTTCACGGTCCGGTGATGAATCAAATGATATCAAACCGTACAAAAGGGCACTAGACGGTTTTTCTTTTAGACTTGATAGGAGTTCATCAATCCGCACAAACGCATCATCATCCGTCTTCATTATGTATTTTGCTGGGATGACTTTGGTCTGTATCAACATGGAGAAACACCAGAGAGAGAGAGAGATTAACCAAGACAAGGCAAGAAGTGATATCTCACAGTTTCTATGTTTTCTGTAAACAGTAGCTTACCCCGAGAATGCAAAGCGCAACTGTTTTCAAGCTAAGTAAACCATAGTAATCAACAAATGGCATAAACTGAATGTCTCCATATGCCTTAGATTCTCTCCACATCTCTAAATTGACTTTTTCCTTTGTGTGCTGAGTAAAAGAAACGCCAAGTTATTGCTAAGAAATGTATAAATCCAAGGAGAAATGTTAATTTGCAGATGTACTTACAAGGCCAATGAGAAATCGAACAGCCACTTTGCCAGATTTTACTGCCTCGTATTGCATCCAAGATCTTCTCAATGCCATACGCCGCTTAAAATTATTTCCAGTGGAGAAAACACCCACCAATAGTTCTATTCTTGTCCCGGAAAGAGATGGAGCTTTAAGTTTCTCTTCTATGATTAAAGAAGCATGGTCATCGGGAATGGGCAGTCTTGTGGCTAAGGCAGATAACATTTTCAAACCACCTGAGACTTTGACTGCACTGACTAACCATGGCTCGAGCTTCTGCAAATTAGATATGTCAGTTTTAAACAAAGCAACAACCTCAAAACTAACTTGGTATAGTCATCCTTTACCTCCCTGTAAGCAAATGAAGTCTCGTGCCGCCCATTTATCGTCATATGAAAACCTTCTAAGCCAAACCACAATGTGGCAGTGAAAGGACTCCCTTTGAGAAATGGAAAATTAGCATTTGAAAGAGAAAATTCCATAGTTGCATCATCGTTGGAACTCTTTTCCGAAGTGATTCTACCGGTCTGTTTGTTGCAGAGAGGAAGTTGATCAACTACATTGGTTGCCAAGAGACTTTTCAACAATCCATCAAGATGACATAAAAGAGCAAAGATATGTGAGTTCTGTTACCTAAATGATTTTTAACTGATCCATGATCTGGGCATCGCACTTTGTTTCCCCAACCGAGCTTTTCTGTCCATGTATTTTGCACTATGGATGGCCTAGAAAAATTCACATTGTAACGCAAGATTATTGGCCGACGGGTTTCGCCTGATAATTCTGAGCCAACGAGCTGAATCTGGAAGCTACTAGAATGTTCATCAGGAATACCAACCAAAGTTACTGAAGAATCTTCAATTAAACCACAAGGAAGCTCAAGTAGTACATGCCTTAAACCAGACAAATCCTCATCAAATGCAGTGACAAAATCCGGACAGTTTCTTCCAAGTTCCTTGGAGACCATAGCAGAAAAAGAAGCTCCTTTCTCTTTATTGATCAGAAAAACCAAATCTTTCATGGCCAAAGTAGCTTCTTCAATCCCTAGAGAATGGACGCATACGAGACCATACAAGCAATCCTTTCAAATCTTCTTCTTCTCCGAAAAAGCTCTTGTTTGAAAAGAGATAATCAAGATCTTCCAAAGTCATAAAATGTGGCTTCTTTGCTGGTTCATGAACACTCTCTCCTTCTATACTAGAATCATCCACAGTGTGACTCGTTGGAAATTTGTGATCAGATTGTTCATGACGGATGATAAAGATCAATGTAAGAACCATAATGGAGACTCCCACCAACCAATCCCTCATTCTGACTGAAGTGAAACCAAATTTGAATCTCACCACTGACATGAATTGCATCATTTATTAATAACCTATGGGAAAACCCAGATTCCGAATTAGAATTAGCATAATAATCATATAATTAAACAATGGTCAACGAATTTTGGAACCGGTGTTGGATACTGAGACATAACTAACCAGAGAGACATTTAAGCTAAAAGAAGAAAGACTAAACGGAATTGGTGCAGAAAGGATCAGTCTTGGATGGATATAAGGAGACCCAGAAGCAAGATCATGGTAAATTGTTGTTTATTATACTTGTAGCACAAACAGAGAGTTTCGGAAACATCTAAGTCACTGTTTCAAGAGCTGAAAAGTTATCTTCATTGTAAAATAGAGAAACTTTACCCGTTTTATATTGATTTCGGCCGATCTTTCAAGTAGATAATTCATGAAGATCCAAGATCAGTCAATTGCAATTGCAGTTGCAGAGCCCAGACAGAGAAGACGAAAGCATTTCCAAGCTGAAGCAGAGGATCTTGTTGCTATAACCAGTAGGAACTAAACGATGTCGTTTTCTATAACAACGAAACGATGTCGTTTCTGAAACAACGAAGCGATGTCGGTTTAAATTTTTTGCATTGCTTTGTTTTGGACTCTTGGATAATAAACTACGGACTAAGAAAGTTTGTCATATTTTGAACTTGGAGCTCAAAATCATTTCACATTTTCCTGAAATAAACAAATTCTCCGAGAGAATAATCTCTTTTTCATTTCTTAAATCTCATAATGACAGACTCACAGACAAATGGAATAACTTAGCTATATAGGATTGGTTGGTTAGAACAAATCTGAATAGAGAGAGAACACTATACTATACTGTTTACTAAACAGACTTTCCTAAATTAGAAAGTCTCTGTTCTCCTCCTCCTCCCGCAGCGGATCGTGGACTGAACGGAGCTCTTCCAGCGGGAGACCTTGGACTAGTCTCTCCTCCTCCTCTGAAATCGCTTAAGCTCCTGATATACACTTTCTCTGACACTCTTGGATTCTGAAAACTCACCACTCTTCTCATCAACTCCACTCCTCCCGCAGGCGAACCTACCGTCGATCCACTTCCTCCACCGAGTTTCAAGCTGCTCACTTTCCTTATCTCTCCTCTGCTTCTCGTAAACATTCCGTCCATCACTTCTCCACTATCCGCAAACGACGTTGCACGGCTCACTTCCCCTTCCTGCACAATGAAGAAGAGAGCAGTTTATTACCGGTATATTTTCGACAAAGCCTTAAACTTTTGTAGAGAAGAATAAAAAGAAGAGAACTAATTACCGGTTTGAGATTGAATGATAAGATAGCAGGTGCTTCTTCATACTCTGCAGCATCCAAGTCTTGAAGATGAGATCCTTTGAAGAAATTAGGCAACACATATTGCCTAACCGGAACAAGAAACATTATCATCAACGGGAACAAAACTCCAGCCACCGGAACCCACGTGATCCCGAAGCAGACCAGCAAGTACGCCGCTTGAAACAGAGTAAACATCGCCATTGTCTTAAACGGAACTGTTTCAACAAACACCGCATGATTATCCTCAAGAACTCTGCACAAAAAAAGAGACCAAAGTTCACAGAGACTATGAGAATGCAGCAACAGCAAGATTGTCTGATTGATGAAGAAAGGTTTGTTTTTTACTTGAATCTTCTGCTTGGGGCAGTGAAGAGAAGCACGATCCTTTCCCAGAATTGATTCCCTGGGAGGCTTTCGATTGCCATGTAAGCGAAGTAAGCCCAAAGAACCGAGCTTGGGATTCTTTTGATTAAAGGCATTGCTGCAACACATCCAGCCACCATCATAGCTTGAAGAAAGTTACTTACTCTTTGTTCTTTTACTTCCACTGGCAATATATTCTCGACTTCCGTCTCTATATCGAACACTGTTTCCTCGACAAGTGCATCGGCGTTTGAAGCCTTTTGAGTATGTGACTGTTTGAGCCCCTGAATCTGATATTGCACCGTGCTTGATCAGGAATGAGTAAAAAGGCCATATTATAAACTGATATATATATAATCCCAACATACCCGAGAAGGCTCTTGGTGTATCAGAGGGCTCTGCATTTGTTGGTAAGCTTCTTCCATGCTTACATAGACTTCTCCTATTGTTGCATTGTTTCTGATGCATTTACGCGCAGCTGCCACGAGTTTGTTTCGAAGTAACTGCGCATCAACCAGTTTTAAATGCCTTTTGAGATATACAATTGAAGGCCTAAATAAAACACAGTAAGATATATAATCAAACCTGGTGATTCAGTGTTGCCAAGCTTTTTGTGTGCATTGGAGACTGAGGGATGACACCATTGGATGGAGGAATCCCGAGGAGACCGCAGAGGATTGTCTACAGAAGAAGAGTTCCAACCTTTCATATTTTGTAAATTGTCAAGTCAATAAATCAGTCAAGAAAAACAGATACTTCATCTCTTACCAAGAAACCTAGAAGAAACAGATCATAATGGTAAGCAGGAGGCCTTCTCAGATTGAAATCTTCCTGCTGTGCTAGCTGCGAAGCTACACTATGGTCAAAGTAGTAAAGAACCGCAATCATTGACGCTGGAACAACCGCTAAAAGAATGTATAGCACAGGCACATCCACCATCTCCTGCAGTTTATTCATCATGCGCTTTGATGAATATCAACATAAAGAATTAACAGTAAAAAAAAAAACAAAGTAGAGAGGATGTGACTAGTGCCTTAATGACAGTCCAATTCTGATATGCACCAGGAGACCATGGATTAGGACTAACAAGACGTCTTGGTATCCCTTGAGGAACACTTTTCCAAGGTATGTATGATATACAAGTCCACACTACCACCATCACTGGAACACCATAATCTGCTATAAACCCGCGTAACCATTCTGCAATGACAAGGATACCGATGTTCCTGAGGTTCTTGCTTAGAGAAATAAAATGACTTTTAGACATATTTTTTGGATCTTGATTCAAAGTTTGAATAAACATTATGGTTTCTTACCAGCACCAAATCTCCAAGACCTCGCTTTTCGGCTTTTCAGTGCAGTATACAGAAGTCCAGAAGACAAAACCAAACCAAACATTCCATTTGCAAATACCCAAGCAGGTTGAAACTCAGCTGATCTTGGATTTGTTCTTCCGGGGACACCAAACTCATCCACAATGCCCTGAAAAAGTAGAGTTTCAACATAAAGGAACAAGCTTTTGGTGCAAATGCTAGTATAAGTTGTGAATGTAATTGAATAAAGGAAGCTCGTTTACTTACTCTAATGGCTTCTTGCATGAAAAGCATGGCTATTAGGATACCAAACAGTTCCCCGGCAAGTCGAGTGAATCGACTGATGAAGGTGCAAGCGCCTAACACAGCTAACAAGAACAACAACAGCCCCGTCCACAAGCAAACCCTTAAAAAGAAATCACCCATGAAAACAAAAAGACAATGCCTCATCTCATAAAGTTTTGAGACTTTAAAACTTCTTGAAAGGAACTGAGCAATGCAAAGAGAAACATTTGAGTTTACCATCCGGTCCACGCGAGAAAGAGATTAGAGCCCAAATCCGTTCTACTTTTAGCGAAATTGAACATGAAGGTGTACATTATAACAGTAGGCTCTGCAACACCAAGAATCAACAATGGTTGTCCACCAATAATGGCGTGAATCACTCCACACAATGCTGTCGAAACTAAGGTTTGAACAGCGGTAATCTTCCCACCTTGCCAAGTTGCAAAAGAAACAAAACACACAAGTTTTCTGTTACTCTCATTAGAATCAAAGATAGTAAATATGAATGAGGGAACAAGAAAAGTCATTCAAATGTACCAGTGTCTCTTTCCAACTGTTCTCCAAAAGTAATCACCGGAATAGCGGATGCAAAGAATATGTAAGTTGTTGGTGCCAGAATCCTATAAATTTTGCATAAATTAAGTTAATATCAGAGCACAAGCATGAAGCATCAACACTTGCTGAAAAATGAATATACCTAAATCCAGCTCTGAGACCACTGATCCAATCTTGCTTGTAGCATTTGAGTCTCCCTTTGACATCTTTCTTTATGCCCTGAAACGGGACAAAGCTGTCTGCTTCGTCCATGTAGATTTGGTGTGTTCAAGTTTTCAATCCTACAAAACAACACTTAGTTCTGTTAAAAACTCAAAACCCATGAAATCTATCTAGAACAAGACAAAAGCAATTAGTAACCAAGATTGGAAAAAATATAATCCAACCAGAATGATTCAGATTCAATGCTTTTCCAGTAGCTGAAACTGGTTTCACTAGTAACCAAAATAAACAAAGAGTAACGAATAAATCTTAATGGCTTGATACACTTTTAAGTACTAAGAAACTCAGATCCGAATATGAATATTTGCAGGAACCTTAAAAGAGAACCCAAAGAAATGTCTTCAAAAGCGTTAATTGCGGAGGAGGTCTTTAAAAAGAGTTGTGTAGAGTTGATGATGGGTGATTTGGCAAAAAAAAGTAAACAACTTTACAACACATTTTGTACGGAAAGCTCAAAGAAAAATCAAAAGCTGGCGAGAAGTCAAAAAGGCATGGGATCTACTAAGCTTGGATTCAAGAATGACTGAGAGAGAAAAGAAGAGAAAACACATACCAGAGACAAATCAGCTCAAAATGACCAAAAGAAGACAACTTAATAAGACTGAGAGAAAAGAGCTTTCGTTTTCTAGGCTTGACCTCTCTATAAAAGAGCTGTGGGAGATTTTTTATCAGTTAAAAACTGCTGCAGATTAGAAATGTTGGAGAAGAAAGATAAAAGTAAAGTAAAGATGGGATTAAAAAAAAAGAAGTGAGTGTGATGTGCTGAGATCTGATGAGAGGAGAGGGATGTCTGTCTCTGTGTCTTTGACTCGTGTTTCAGACAATGCTCGTGATTGATTTGGTTTTGTTACACTTCTTCCGCCTAACACGGCGTTTTAGTGTCTCTTTTTCGATAAATGAGATTTAAGTTAAGAGTCAAGTTGGTTCATTTTAGATTTTTGAGTCACACGTTTTCTCGGATTGATGATTTGGAATCCTTTTCCAAAAGATGTCACATTTCTGACAATGACGATTTACATGATTTATTGGGCTTTTTTTTTTTTGGACGAATTTTCCGAATAAATATCTTCTTTTTACTAGCTAGTGGCATCCTAAACATCCATGAATCCATGATAGTTTGTTTTACATGTAAAAAGAAGAAATGTGTTTAGATAGTTCACAAAAAAAAAAAAAAAAAAAAAAAGAAGAAATGTGTTTAGACTTTTCAGATGTTTCAATTGTTTTGGTTAAGTCCTACCAAAATGGGTTCCAAGCCCAAACAATTAAAATACGATATAGCCTATATTTTATAAACGACAATTTTCAGTCTCCAAGCCCAAACTTCCTCTTATTAAGAACAAATTTTTCTTTTTCTTGAGAACATTATTTTTTATTTTTTTATTTTTTTTTAAAATTTTTTTTCTCTTGAGAACATTATTAATGATCATGCACATTGATAACTAGATTTTACGTTATACCTTCCCACGTTATGCATGATAAAAACAATTGATGATGCATTCTTGACGATATTACCTTCCCAGTTCCCACGTTATTCAAATGGGCAAGCCTCTGTTGATCCCTTCGTCTCTCTCCTATATCAGCGCCGGGAAACCGGAGGAGACGCGTGAGTGTGAGTATACACGACGCAATGGCATCGTTGTCCTTCATGTTCCAAAACAAAGAAGAAGACGCAATGCCATCATAAGTTTACTCCATAAATATATATATATATACGTACCATGTCCTACTCAAACTTCAATTCCTCCAAACTAACTTCGCTGGATAATAATGGCATCGGTTTACTCCACCCTAACCTACTGGCTCGTGCACCACCCCTACATCGCCAACTTCACATGGACCGAAGGTGAAACCCTAGGCTCTACCGTCTTCTTTGTCTTCGTCGTCGTTTCTGTTTACCTCTCCGCCACATTCATCCTCCGATACACCGTGGATTCACTCCCCTCTCTCGGTCCCCGCATTCTCAAACCGATCACAGCCGTCCACAGCCTCATTCTCTCCCTCCTCTCCTTAACCATGGCCGTTGGTTGCACTCTCTCCCTAATCTCGTCTCAAGATCCGAAGGCGCGCCTCTTCGACGCCGTTTGTTTCCCAGTCGACGTGAAACCTAAGGGACCGCTTTTCTTTTGGGCTCAAGTCTTTTACCTCTCCAAGATCCTGGAGTTCGTAGACACACTTCTCATCATACTCAACAAATCAATCCACCGGCTCTCGTTCCTCCACGTCTACCACCACGCAACGGTTGTGATTTTGTGCTACCTCTGGTTACGAACACGCCAATCTTTGTTTCCGATTTGTCTCGTGACGAACTCGACGGTCCATGTCATTATGTACGGTTACTACTTCCTCTGCGCCGTTGGATCGAGGCCCAAGTGGAAGAAGTTGGTGACGAATGTTCAAATTGTTCAGTTTGTTTTCGGCTTGGGGTTAGGAGCCGTTTGGATGCTCCCGGAGCATTATTTCGGGTCAGGTTGCTCCGGGATTTGGGCAAGTTATTTCAATGGTGTGTTTAGTGCTTCTCTCTTGGCTCTCTTCTACAACTTCCATTCCAAAAACTACGTGAAGACTACAACCTCGAGTATGTATAAGATCGAATCCTTTATATTTATAAACGGAGAGAGGTGGGCAAAGAAAGCGATTAGATTATTTTCCATGAAAAATGATTAATTGTCTTGAATTGTTGAATATTATTATATATGTTGTTTGGATATGTACGTTGATGTGTTGTTACTGTAAATGTTTGGGATAGTTTGAATTGTTTCATGTATTATATATATATGAATAAGATGACAAAAGATATTAAAATATGTCACATGCATGCATAAATCATCATGTTCGTCTGATTCTTGTACGATATACAACATTTGCCGACCAACGTTTCGTTAAGAGTTTAATACAGAGATTAGTCTATAGATACAAAAAGTTTTAAAATCAATTCCCTCTATAGACAACCCCAATTCCCTCGCCTCTCAGTCAATGGAGTGGAGACCACGGTTTTAAGAGCCGCCGCTTCATAAACCGGGCTAGGACTAGGGCTACGGCGGCGCGTGGCCTAATTCAACTTTTTGAAGTTGAAACATACGCAAGTTAAAAAAGAGTTAGGTAGATGATCAATTTAATAATCGGGTATTCAAAAATACTAACAAATTTTCATATCATCGAGACATCCACCAAAGATTCTGTCATTCTGACAAAATACCATAGTCAAATAATTTTCAATCTACTACAAATATAGTATTATATTTATATTACCATGATAAATACATTGATAACTGTTAGTTACAATATCACCGTACCACGTCATAATAATAATACAAAAGCATATCATCCCATTAGTTATTTACATACGATACTATACCTAAAAAAGATACAAAACATAATTCTCTGGGACCCACCTTTTATGTAAATGAGCCGATTGAGTAAGCCTCTGATCCTTCATCTCTCTCTCTCTCTCTACCGTATCTTCAAACTTCCAACTCCCCAACCCAAACCTTCGCCGGCGATCAATCCACCGGAGGCAATGGCATCAATTTCCTCCACTCTAACCTACTGGCTCGTTAACCACCCCTACATCGCCAATTTCATTTGGACCGAAGGTGAAACCTTAGGCTCCACCGTCTTCTTCGTCTCCGTCGCTGTCTCCGTTTACCTCTCCGCCACATTCGTCCTCCGATCCGTCATCGATTCACTCCCCTCACTCAGTCCCCGTATACTCAAACCAATCACAGCCGTTCACAGCCTAGTCCTCTGTCTCCTATCCTTAATCATGGCCGTTGGTTGCACTCTCTCCATAACCTCGTCTCACGCGTCTTCAGATCCGACAGCGCGTTTCCTAAACGCGATTTGTTTCCCCCTCGACGTTAAACCTAACGGACCGCTTTTCTTCTGGGCTCAAGTCTTCTACCTCTCCAAGATCCTCGAGTTCGGAGACACTATCCTCATCATACTCGGAAAATCAATCCAACGGCTCTCGTTCCTCCACGTCTACCACCACGCGACGGTTGTGGTCATGTGTTATCTCTGGCTCCGAACTCGCCAATCGATGTTTCCGGTTGCGCTCGTGACGAATTCGACGGTACACGTCATCATGTACGGTTACTACTTCCTCTGCGCCGTTGGATCGAGGCCGAGGTGGAAGAGATTGGTGACGGATTGTCAGATTGTTCAGTTTGTTTTCAGTTTCGGATTATCCGGTTGGATGCTCCGAGAGCATTTGTTCGGGTCAGGTTGCTCCGGGATTTGGGGATGGTGTTTCAACGCTGCGTTTAATGCTTCTCTTTTGGCTCTCTTTTCCAACTTCCATTCAAAGAATTATGTCAAGAAGACAAGAGAGGTGGTTGGCATAAAAAGTGATTAGATTAGTTTCTTGGACAATAGTTAAAACCTCTCATTGTGTCTTGAATTGTTGATTAGTTTCCCCGCAAAAGGATTTATTGTCTATTTGTCCAAAAAAAAAAAAAAAAAAAAGGATTTATTGTCTTGAATTGTTGATTATTTTGGTCTGTGTTGTTACTTGAAAATGTTGAGATATTTGATATTGTTTTATAGATAAGATGACAGAAAATGTCACACAAATCATGATATGGCCTCATCATCTTATTCTTTGACTGAAAAGTACGTTCAATCTAAGAATTCATGCAATGATTGATGCAAGAATCGAATTTAAACAGCATTCACCATTCCTAGAACATCGTAAATTTTTCATCTCTAAATGCTGTATATTACAGTTTTTCCCAAGTTCTTCATTTGTAGTTTCTAGTCTAGATTTTTCTGAAAGTAGTAGAAGGTGTTTACATAAAGTCATAAACGATAAGAATTGTCAAATACATTACAAACTAAACCTCCATGATACAACAAGAAAATGAGAAAAAAAAAATTAAAAAATGAAAAACAAAGAAACTCCAGCCAACAAATCTGAGAAGACGCATCAGCTGTCTGATTTGGTGGATCCATTTAATAACCAAAATTTTTGGGAAGAGTGGGTGATATCTCCGTAGTGACTAGTGAGGTTTTATATCATTCTATATTTTGGCTTTTAGTGTTCATCAACTACTGGTCGTACTGAAGCTGAAGCAGCTTCTACCTCCGATTCAACAACCCCATTCCCTTGTCTCTCAGACAAGGACGTAGGAACCGCAGTTTCAAACGCTGCCGCGGCATTCATGTCCAGGTTCACTACAGACTCAACTGGTGGTTTAATATCAAACCCTGAAACACGTGGCGGTCTATCTCGTCTTTCGTAAACCGGACTAGGACTACGGCTATAGCTTCTGCTCCGGTTATGACCACCACGGTCACGGCTATGTCTAGGGCTACGACTCCTTGAACGTGACCAGCTCCTGCTACGGCTACGACTATAGCTCCGGCTTCGACTCCGGCTATAGCTAGGGCTACGCCGCCGTGGCCGAACCAAATCAGGACTTCTGCTACGACTTCTACCTCTTCTGTTGTCAAACCGTCCAACACCACGACCAAAGCCTCTACCACCACGACCAAAGCCTCGGCCATCCATATTATTATTGCCAAACCGACCAAATCCGCCTCTACCACCCACATTCATATGACCCGCATCAGGACCACTAAAACCCCGACCACGATTCCCGCCACGTCCAAATGAGTCATCTCTCATTCCAAATCCGCCACTACGGCCACCAAACCCACCCTCACGCCCACCAAACCCACCCTCACGCCCACCAAACCCACCCTCACGCCCACCAAACCCACCCTCACGCCCACCAAATCCACCCTCACGCCCACCAAACCCACCACCGCGCCCACCAAACCCATCAGCAGAATCCCAACGGCTACCATTACCGCCAGAGTCAAACCGGTTTACCATACCTCTTCGATCCTGGCTATAACCAGGACCACCACCACCACCACACATTGCAATGTCCCTTACTTGAGGCGGTAGTTGCTGGTTCGCTCCTTCCAGGACTTTGATCATTTCGGTGCGTACTTCCAATCTTGCTCTGTAAAGAAAGTGAATGCAACTCCAGTTGCACCAGCTCGACCGGGTTCTCCCAATACGGTGGACATAGTCTTCAACTCCAGTTGGAAAATCATAGGTGATCACAACTCTGTAGTA